TCCAGCCATTCCCTGCCTGGGTATATACCCAACAGAAACAATTGTTTATATCTATCAAAACAGTGTATCAGAGTATTCCAGCCGCTTTACTCATGGTGTCCAAAAAAATGGAAACAACCAATATCCATCAACAATAGAATGGGATTCCTTTTTTTTTTTTTTTTTTGGTATGTTCATAAAATCAAGTCCTGCATAGTAATGACAAAAAATAAACCACGGACACACTCAGCAGTGTGACTGACTTTCGCAGACATGTGGAGTGAGAGAAAGGAGAACATACTCTGTGATTCCACTTACGGGGAGTTTAATGTCAGGCCCAACCAATGAGGCAATTGGAGTCAAAACAGTGGCTGCCCTTGGGGGTGGTTCCAACTGGGCAGGGGCCTGTGGGAGTTCTGGGGCACTGGAAACCTCTACACATTGATCTGGATGATTAGTCGGATCATTGATTGGTACACAGAGGTGTATACATATGTAAAACTCCACTGAGTTCACTTTACTATCTGTAAGTTATAGGTCAGTTTAAAAATAGTCATGGGGCGCCTGGGTGTCTCAGTCGGTTAAGCGCCTGCCTTCAGCTCAGGTCATGATCCCAGGGTCCTGGGATCGAGTCCTGCATCGGGCTCCCTCCTCAGTGGGGAGTCTGCTTCTCCTTCTCCCTCTGCCCCTCTCCCCCTGCTTGTGCGCTCTCTCTCTCTCTCTCTCTGTCAAATAAATAAATAAATCTTTAAAAAAAATAAAAATAAAACAGTTATGCTAGCAGCCATCTACAAATGCAAATGTGCCTAAACCCAAAGGAAGCAATGTTACTGCGGCCTCTTAGTGCATGAGGCCAGGATGCTAGGGCCTCTGTCCAGCTGTTGGCATGGGTGATGTCAGGCCACGGCCCAGGGCTGGACTCCAGAGGCCCCCAAGGGTGACAGAGTGCTGCTGCTGGGGGTGGGGTGGTGGCCAGGAGTATGAGGGGACCATGGTGAAGAAGGGCCAGGCTCAGAGCATCTCTACTCTGGCAGGACAGTGTCTAGAGCGCTCTTTTTTAATTTAATTTTTTATTAAAATATGTACAGCATAAAAATTGCCATTGTAACCATTTTTTAAGTGTACAATTTACACTCAGTGGCACTGAGTACATTTACAACGCTGTGAGACCATCACCACCAACTACCTCTAGACTTTTTCATCCCCCAAGCGCGAACTCTGCCCCTACTAAGCACTAACTTCCCGTTTCCCTCCTCCCAACCCCTGGCACCCACCCTTCTACTTTTTGTTGTTATGAATCTGACTACTCTAGGGACCTCATATAAGTGAAATCATATAGTATCTGTCCTTTTGTGTCTGGCTTCTTTCACTGAGCATGGTATTTTCCAGGTTCATCCTTGTTTTAACATATATAAACATTTCATTCCCTTTTAAGACTAAATAATATTCCATTTTATGGATGGACCACATTTTGTTTATCCATTCATCCTTCAGTGGACATTTGGGTTGTTTCCACCTTTTTTCTCTTGTGAACAAATGTTGCTGTGGACACGGGTGTACAGATACCTGTTCACATCCCTGCTTTCTGTTCTTTGGGGTATATGTACTCAGAGGTGGAATTGCTGACATACCGTCCTTCTATGGAGCACTATTTTTAAAACGCCTCTGCTTAGCGCAACCACCTAGAGATGTATTTGGTGTGAAGTAGGGCCTTAACACGGTGTAGTTTAAAGCTACCCGGGTATTGTAAGGAGCAGCCAGAATTGAGAACCGCTAGACCAGAGAGGCTGGGCAAGTGACAGAGGAGGGATGACAGCACACAAGAATGAGGGGAGAGGAGATAGGACCGAGTCTGTATGGGAAGGTGGGAGGGGTGAGCCTCTCCGTGTTGGAAACCAGCGCTTCCTCTGAATCAGACAGCCATCCTTGTTGCCCTGCTGACTTCAGGGCTAGAGGTGCCAGATTTAGCAAATTGAGATACAGGACACCCAGTAAAATTTGAATTTCAGATAAACAATGGTTCTTTCAGTATAAGTATATCCCATATAATACATGGGATATACTTATACTTTAAAACCCAGGGCCAATATTGGAGGCTGACAAGAGAGCTCCCCCCATGGGACAGCTACCTGGCTGCTCGTGTGAACAGGACCTGTGTGCAGCCCAGATGCTGCCCTGCAGGGTGGAACTCGCCCCAGACCTCTGAGTGGAGTGTGATCTGGTGGCCACACATCCATCAGGGACAGTCAGGTCCTGCCCAGTGTAGACAGCCTCTAGGGAGAGTGCGAGGAGGCCGCGCCAGCCTCAATGGGGAAGACAGAGGGGCGGGTGGGCCTCGGGCTGCCTTGGGGGATCTGAAGGCCAGAAGTCAGTCAGTATGAGAAGGTCTGCGCTGTTGCGGGCAGGGCAAGGCCAGGCAGACGCCCCCTCCCCAGGAGCCTGTCTTCCCCTTGCCCGTGTGTCCTCTGGAGCCTCATCCATTGGGTAGGACGCAGCAGAGGACCTGTGCTCCCTGGTGTTGCTGTCCCTCAGGTTTGACAGCTGAGCTTCTGTCTCATCCCTGAGAAGACACAGGTCCCGACTGACTCATCGTCTCTGCCAACAGGTCCTGTCTTGTCCTGTGCTCCCCTCCCCTGGGGCCCGAGTCCTAGCCATCTGTGACCCATGCACGACAGCTGGCCTCCCTCTGCCTGCCTGCACGCCGCGGCTGCAAGGGCCCTGCAGTGCTGACCTCCTGCCTGGGCTGCCCTTCCCTCAGGCCACGGCCTCTTGGGTGCTCCTCTCTCCTGACTCCCTGCCCCCACCCTGCCTCCCAAGACCCGAGAGCGCAGTCTTCAGCTCCCTTGAGGTAGCCCAGAACCATGGCTACAGACCACTTGAAACCAAACAGCCTTTTGCAGAGGTGGGAGGTAGTGGTGCCTTTGCTGCAGGACACGGCCTCCTGTCACTGCACTGCCCCTGGGACAGAGGAGGGCAGCTAGCCTGTGCCCCGACCTGGGAGCCAGCCATAGGGTGGCCTCTGATGGCCAAGAGTGAGACCCTAGCTCAGGGAAAGCCTTGCCCCCATTGAGGAGACCCAGAGGAGCCCTGGGAGCCCAGGAGCCTGGCCATGGGGAGGACCCCACGGCAGCAGTCACCCCTGGCCCAGCTCAGTGGCATCTCTTCTGAGAAGGCCTCTGTGGTTACCGTCTCTGTCAAAATGATGAGCCTCATCTCCATCCAAAGGTGTGGCTGGAAGAGATCCCTCAGGGCTGCTCACCCAACACAAGGGTGGTGTTTGTGCTGGACCCCAGCCTTCCTGCACCGTCTACTCTTGGCCCCTCAGGGCCCTGGGGCAGGTCTGGTACTGTCCCCCCACATCTTACAGGTGGAATTAGGGTGCTGGGAATGGAGCCCGGGTCTGCAGATTCCAGGTTTCAGGCCTGGTCTGCCCTGCTCAACCTCCCTTTTGCCTGCCTGCAGCACTTTCTGGTGACTTCCTGCTCCTCCTAGCCCATCATTGGTACCTGGGGAGCTGAGCTTTGTCCCTCGGCCCAACGTGGGTTGTCCTTGGGCACATGTTTATTCCACGTGGTGAACTAGTCCTGCTCAAGCAGCATCCAGCACCCATGGGGACATCTCAGCACCACCCAGCCACTGCCCCCTAGAGAAGCTCAGGCCTTAAAAGTCACGGTCCTTCCTGCCAGCAGTCCCTTCTTCCTCCCCCATCCTGTGCTGAGGCAGCCTGGGCTTGACTTACCTCCTGGGCCTCGTGGTCCTAGGGATGCCGAGACTGGGGGGCTGGGGATGCTCCATCCTGGTGCTCCCAGGCTCAGCCCTGTTCCAGTGGATGGAAGCAGCTGCGTGGTGGTGGGGATGTCCTGGGATTCTCTGTGGCCGGTCAGCTGGGCCCCGAGCCCTCAGGATCTGTGCAAGGCAGGAGCAAGGTCCCGTGGGAAGGGATGGGGAGGTGCTGACCGTGCAGGGCGGTGAGGTTGCAGCCCGGCGGCTCCTGCAGTCCCCCAAGCCCACCAGCTGTCACGGCAGCTGGGGCTCCTCACCTCTTCCTGTGCTGGGCTCCACCTCAACCCTCCTTCCTGTCTGATTTCAAAAGCCAGCAGCCTCTCAGACAAATCAATGAGCCGCGGCTGCCCGGATTGGCTCTGTCACCACCCCGTAAGTTAGAGAGGCAGGGGGTTTCAGCAGGATCTGGATTTGAGGACCCCTGTAGACGTCATGCTCAGGAGAAGGGTTCAGCCAAGGCCACAGAGGAAGACAGTCTCACCACCTGCAGACCTTTGCTTTTGGGGGGCTCTAGGGAAACTAGGCTACCTGCAGGGATGTTCAGTGACTTGCCCAAGGCCACACAGCAGGAAGCTGGCCACTGTGTCTGGAGCAGAGTCCTCTCACTTCCAGGCCGGCATACTCTGCTGTGGCCGAGGCCCTCATCATGTTGTCTAATGCCCCGTGCTTTGCTCTCTCTAGCACCCAGCAGGCACCTGCGACCCAGCTGTACCCCACAGTGTCTTCCCAGAGGCAGGCCGGCTGCACCCTGAAACAGCAGAGTGTGGCAGTTCCCTCAGGCCCCGGAGGTGGGCCTCAGCATGTGGGCAGCACTGAGAGCGAAGGGGTGAAGGGAAAGGGCATGCCCAGAGTGGACGACAGGAGAAGCATGACAATAGAGGAAAAGTGCAGGACATCCTCCAGTGACAGGGAGCAAGCCATGGAGGCAAGGTGGGAGCCAAGGGATGGGTACCTCACTTTTCCTAAAAAAGTCAACTGGGAGCCATTGATGGTTGTAGAGCGGGAGGGTAGTGGGTTCAGATGATGTGGCAGCTTGTGGATAAAGGGTGGTGGGAGGGGCTGTGTGCTTCTATCAGCCTGTTCTCCGGAGCTGGGGGCAGAGGAGTGGGGGCAGAGGGGACTGAGGTGTGGGGGCAGAGGGGACTGAGGTGGCAGATTAGAAGCACTCCATGCAATGACACCCTTCTGTGCCCCCCTCCCTGCCACCCTTCCAGCAGTGCCTTCCGAGGGCCCAGCAGCTGGCCAGGTGCCAGGTGAGACGCATGGGGCTTGCCCTTGAGAAGCCTGCTGAGGCTGCAGGTCGTCAGAGCACACTGTAGCCACGGCTGTGAGGTGCACTGAAGGCGTCTGAAACCAGGTCGCCCACAGGATGTTGGAAGCCGCAGGGGCCTGGTGGGTATCCGTCACATGAAAGAGGCCAAGAGGCCCGCTCTGTTCCCCCCTCCACAGCTCAGGGAGGGGGGATCTTGAGCACAGGAGGAAGCAGCCTCCTCCATGGGGGTCTCGGGGCACTCTCCCCTGCAACTTTGGCCTCCACCTCACACAGATGGCCCATGGCCAGACAGGGCTGGTTCTTGGGCTCCCGGGGGCAGGGGAGCCATCCTCTTGACTCTCCTGGGCGTTTGTATGTTTGGGGAACGGTCTCCCACAGTTCTCACTCTAGGGCTTTCTGTCCACCGAGACCTGTGACAGCCAGATAGGCAGTGGCCTCGGCTCTTCCCAACTCAGACAGCTTGAGGCTTCCTGCCTTCAAGGGCGGGGGCCTCCCTGGGGGTTGTGCAGGCCCCTGGGGGCTCCCTTGCCTGGGCCCTGCTGGAGCTGGGCTGTGGCTCTCCTGTGGTTGCCTGAGTGACCATGGCCAGGCCGGCCACAGGAAGGGGACAGGCCTGGGAGGTCTCAACACAGCACAGCAAAACCTGGGTGCTGTGTGGCTTTCCACTGCTCTGGGGCTCAGCACGCTCTCTTCTTGTGCTAAGGACCCCTCACAAGGCTGGGCAGAGCTTCTGGAGAGGAGTGTCTGCCCGCTGTGCAGCATGAGGCCCACTGCGGGCCCCGCTCCTCCAGCCTCACCACAGGTGCTGGGATGGGGCAGCTCACCATTTTCCTTCTCAACCAGCAAGCTGGATCTAATTTTCCAGTTGCCCAGTTCAGTAGGTCTGGCTACTGTGGAAAGGTCAAGGACACTGCCAGTTCTCTTGTTGTAGGGCTGTCTTCACTGCAGTGCCGGTTTTTAACCCCTTTGCCTGCCTTGCATATGGGCTCGGGCCCTGGCCAGGCCCACTGCTGGCCCCTGGGGGCACGCTGCCCGGACCTGACCTGGCCAAGGCCCTCAGCCACCAGGCCTCGCTTTCCCCCCCCCTTTCCCTGGCCTGCGGCTTTTTACCTGTTTCAACCCCACCCCCAACATCTTATCAACCTGCAGGTGGTAAGCTTCTGCCAGTCTAGGCTGCCTTCCAAGGAGCAAGGGCTCCCAGTACATCCAGAGCTGCTCGTCTGAGTCCAGGGTCTCCACAAGGAGCCAGTGAAGCCAGGTAAGGGCTCCAAGTGGCCTCCCACCTCCCAAACCCCATCTCACGTCCCTGAAACAGTACATACTAGGGTAGGAGAGCAAGTCCTTGGTATGAGAAACACAGGCCAGACTCCATCTTCAGTCTCCTGTGCTGTTAGCTGTGAGATCTGAGCCCTGGCATCCCACTGTTCCCTCTAACCCCTGCCCCTGGGCAGTGTGCACAGGCAGGGCCCAGCCCTCTCTGCCTGGTCACAGACCAGGACCCACAGCATGTGTTCAAAAAACCCTATTTCACCTCCCTGGATGCTGCACGCACCCTGAGGCCCAGCTTACAGTCCCCCTATTGCAGGAGGCCATCTGAGCACCAACCCTTACATCCGGCACAGGGACAGGCCAGTCTGGCTGAAGACTAGAAGCACCAGCTGATTTCTGACCTTTCTCCATGGGGCCCAGCACACAGGACAGAGAGGGCTTCACAAGCTTATCCTGTTAAAATGCAGATTCTAACTCAGTAGGTCTGGGCAAGCCCAAGCCTGTATCCGTAACAATCCCCAGGGTCCTGCTACTGGGCCCTGGGCCTCATCAAGGGCTGGAGCTCAGTGCTTGGTAGGGGCTGTCTTAATGTGGGGCTACAGATTCACAAATGTGGATGAATGGATGAACACACATCTCTTATCTACGAACCAAAGGGACATAAGGAGCCAGCAGGCCTGGGTCACCCTTTGCAATGAAGGACAGGCACAAAGGCCTTCTGCAGACACGGTTATGAGGGCAGCAAGGGAGCTGTGGGTGAAGCTCCCAGCCAGCTTCCCTCATTACCTTTCTGCAGTGTAGCATCTGGAAGATTTTTATAAAGCCTTTTTGTTTTTATTGCACATCATAGAAAATGGACTGCACTGTATTTAACATAGACGAGACATTCACAAGGATGTAGAGACCCCAACTTTTCTTCCTTCTGGTTGTCACCTGTGCTCCACACTGCTTCTGAGGCCGAAGACAGCCTTACCACACCAACAAAGCCGGTTAACAAAGAACATGCGAATTCTGTGTGGGCCCTCCTGCACTGCCCAGTTTGGAAATTGCTGGTGATAAGGACAGGTGTCTGGGCAGGATGGCTGGGCCAGCAGAACACCTGAGGTGGGGCAGTGTGAGAAGCTTGTGGACACCTGATGTGCTGGTGAGGCTGGGATTATGGTCTGAGGGCTGAGACGGAAGTCGGGGCAGGGGCAAGCTAGCCCGGGGCATCCATCCAAGGCGAGGACATGTGCCTGACAGACCCCGCCCTGGCCAGCTGGTGGCCACCGGGGCCCTTGTGAAGCACCGGGGGCACGGCGGGGTTAAAGGGAGACAAACTGTGGGCGCCAACAGAGGGAGGGGCTGGGGCCCTACATCGTGGGGGTGCCACGCTCCAAACACTACTCCGGGAAATGGAGCTGGGGACAGCTGACCCAGCTCGGTGCTGTGGCCGGCCCCTCTCATGGTGGCCGGTTGCAGTCCCCAGGCCCAGGAACGCCCGTGGAGGCCTGGCTAACTGCCGGGGGCTGTGGACCCTCACAGGCTGCTGACGGACAGGGGTGGGGAGGGGCGGACCGGCCTGGCGGCTCGGCCCCGCTTCTTGCCCACAGGCTGCAGTCTCTTCCGGTGGAGCTTCTCCTTCCGGGCCGCGGCGGTGGTGAAGGTGATGCAGTGGGCATCCAGGAAGTCCAGCAGCTTCGCCGTGGCCACGTGGATGCCATGCTGCTTCAGCTCGGCCTGCAGCTCTGCCAGCTCAAAGGGCTGGTACAGCAGGACCTTGCGGTAGAGGGCCGGCCTGGAGCGGATGTAGCGCCTCACAGCCTCCTCCGTGGCTGCCGCATGCACCGCCGCCTGGGATGTGCTAAGCTCCTCTTCACCCTCTTCATCTTCTGCAGACTCAAAGCCCACTCCAAACTCACAGGAAGAACTGAAAAGAACCAGACCAAAACATTTTGTGACGCTCCTTCTCTCCAGCACCCGAGACCAGGAGCCCCTTTGATGGAAGGAGTGTTTGTGTCCCCTGCGGAGCACGACACCGGCTTGGATGGCCTCCCTGGGAGGCGGGAAGCTCCAGGCTGCCATGCTTCTGGCACCCCAGATGCCAGCCCCCTCACGAGAGCATCCTGTGTGGCGAGGACACGGAAGCTCCAAGGGTCTGCTCAGGAGGCTCACGGGACTGTCCTTCGCCCCAACTGGGTTTCCTGCAGTTCAAATCCAGAAGGCAACGGGATTTCTCAACCTCAGCATTAGGCCTGGCTTATGCCAACTCACAGACCCGGGGTCAGAGGACCTATGAAGCCACTGGCCCTGTCCTCCCATCTTGTTACCTTTGTGAGCTAAAGGAGCTGTCACTGCTGTCCACAGAGGAGGCCACTGATTCCTGGGATGCTGGGAGCTGGGCGTCCCCATCAGGGTCTGGAGGCTCCTCGTTGGCCTGTGACATGCTCATCGGAGGGATGCTTCCACCAGGCTGTTTCTTTTGCTGTCGGGGGTCCTTGGTCTTAGTGGACTCCTTGGACCTTTGGGGAAGAGGGCCAGAAGTGGCCTCCAGCCAGGCATGGCCAACGGCTCTGGAAGCCTTGGAGGTCCTGCTGGCGTGGGTCTGGCTGTGCGGAGCCTCCAGGAGCACCTGTGAGGACTGGCTCTCATTCTCCGAGTCGGACTCCAGAGTCTGGTGAGTGTACTGGAATATCTCCTTCAGTTTTAGGACCATCTGGCGTTTGGGTAGACGGCGGACCCCAAACCTGAATGGGGAAACAGGTGAACTTCAGCACAGAGCAAAGAGTTATCAGCAAATTAATGGCTTTGTGTAAATGAAATCTTACATGCCTGACTTTTGTGAGCGTTCAGAGGTGTCTATTCTGCATACCAACTGAGCTTACTCTGAAGAATACTCCAAAAGGGCCATTCCCAGGTTCGGCAATGGTGGTAGTGATAACACCTCCGGGGCCCAAGGTGAAGAGCAGCACTGACTGGGATGTGACAGTTTTTTTGATGTTCTTTTAAAAAAATCAGGTCAGACTATTAAGGCAAGGGCCCATCTCCATCCACTGGGCACATGGAGATCTATCAACTGACGGGTGCCTGGAGTCTCATCTCGTAGCTTCTCAGGGAGCTGGTAGTTTGGGGAAGAGCATGCAGAGAGCTAGCAGCCACACATGCTCCTGTCCCCCAGCGGCTCCTGTTACCAGAGCCCCACGGCTGGTCCTTCAGCTCCCAGCCCCACTAAGCCTGGACCTGCACAGCGGGGAGTGGACCACCCCTGAGCAAGTTTTCAAGACCACCCACCTCTCCAGTTCTTTCTTCAGTACCGGAGTCTCCATGATGGAATACCTTGGCATGGGCGTTATGGGCACTTTCGGGGGCAAGTTCTTCCGATTAGCACCTTCTAGGTAGAACAAAAGAAACATGTTTCAGCACAAGGCATCTGGATTGACCTCTTTTTTTTTTTTTTTTTTAAAGATTTTATTTATTTGACAGAGACACAGCGAGAGAGGGAACACAAGCAGGGGAAGTGGGAGAGGGAGAAGCAGGCTTCTTGCTGAGCAGGGAGCCCGATGTGGGGCTCAGTCCCAGGACCCTGGGATCACAACCTGAGCCAAAGGCAGATGCTTAACGACTGAGCCACCAAGGCACCCTTGGATTGACCTCTTCTGAGCTCAGCAATAGCACCGAGAGAAATAGTGCGTTTGAAGAAAGCCCATCCACCGTTCTGCTCCACCCTTTACCGCTGGATGCAAGAATGGTCTTCCCGTTGGAAAGCATCACACAGAGGTGGCCAGGGCCATGGCCCCGTGCAGTGCCAAAGCTGTGGGAACAGGGCAGAAAGCAGATTCATGGCTGCTAGGGGCCGGGGGGAAGGGGCACCTGAGTGACTGCTGATGGATGCGGTGAAAATGTTCTGGGACTAGCGGTGATGGCCGCCAAACACTGTTCAGGTAGGAAAAGCCACTGAACTGTGTGGTCTGGCTTTTGTTTTGTGGCTACCATCTGTCACCCCGTGCTATCATACCACTGTCTGTATTCCCTGCTGTGACTTATTCATTCCATAACTGGAAGCCTGGATCGCAACCCCCCACCCCTGGCCCTGTTGTTCATGTACTAAAAACCACCGAATTGTATATTTTAAAGGGTGAACTTTATGGTATGTGAGTAACAGTCCAATAAAGCTGTTACTTTAAAAAAGAAATCAGTATTTTAAAGACAAATGGAACAACTCAGGAATATATGGACTTTGGTTCTTATCCTTTTCAAGAGCATGGAGCCCTTTGAGACTCCAGTGAAAACAGGCTATCTCCTAAAAAAAAAAGCACAAAATTTTTTATATAATTTGAGAAAAGTTGTCACCTCCTGGAAGTCCACCTCAAGTTCAGACTAAGGTCCCTTGTCTGAAGTCTGGTTCTCATAGCACTACCTGAGAACGGGTTAGAAATGCAAATTCTTGGTCTCCACTCTGGGGTGGGGCCTGGCCATGTATGTGGGAAGCTCTCCAGGCAGTTCTGATCCCCACTCAAGGCTGAGAGCTGGTCAGTCATGCCCAGCTGGTCTTGGATTTTGGGAGGAAATGCAACACCAGGTCACCTGCAGATCCTCTGCCCACAGGCTGCTTTCCTGCGACCAGCCGCTGCTTTGCACAACCCTGCCCCTTCCTGGCTCTCCCAGCATCTGCCTGGCAGGGGAACGGGTATGGGCAGCAGAACCTCAAGGGGCTGACCCTCGAGACCCTGATTCTCCTTTATGACTGACATGAGCTGGGAAACTGCACCCTTCCATGGGCTTGGGGAGGTAGATGAGGGAGGACCAAGACTCACAGCCAACACCCGACCCTCACCCCATCTGCTGTTGTTTTAAAGCAAACAATTCAGAGGCACTTAGTACATTCAGTGTCCTAATTCACTGCAACCACCACCTCTAGCTCTAAAGCATTTTCATCACCCCCAAAGGAGGTTCCGTACCCAGCATACTCCCTGTTCTCCCCTTCCCCCTGTCCTGGCAACTGCTCGTCTACTTTCTGTCTCCACAGATTTGCTCCCTCTGGACATTTTAGATAAATGCACTTGCATGCTGTGTGGTCTTCTGTGACTGACATCTCTCACTGAGCGCCATGTTTTCGAGGTTCATCCACAAGGTAACAGAGGTCAGTGCTTCATGCCTTCCTATGGCAGATTATACTACACTGTATGAATGGACCACGTTTTATTGGTCCACTCATCAGCTGATGGACATCTGGGTTGTCTTCCCCTTTGGGCTACCGTGAGTACGGCTGCTGTGAAATCTGTGTCTGTCCTGATCTCCATTCTTCTGGGAGCGCTCACAGGAGGGGAGCTGCTGGGTCCTCATGGCAATGCTCTGTGTAACCGTGAGGAACCATGCTTGCCCAATTTTAAGTGCACCTGAGGTGCTTGCCTTGGCCTTTCAGAAGTGCTGGTTCAGTATGCTCGAGTGGGGTCCACAGATGGGGGTTTTTAACAGGGGCCCAGGCGAGCCATGGGAGCCAGGCAGGTTGAGGAACTGGCTAAGCAGCACGTCTAAGGGCAAGCCCGTTCTCCCTCCGCAAGGGAGGGTGGGGAGGGGGCTCGCCGCAGCCCAGCAGGCCCTGCAGCCCCTCCACCCCACGCTGTCTCTACTGCCCCCTCCAGCCCCTTAGTGTAAAGCAGTGTAACAACTACCCTCCTGCTACTCACTTGGTGTCTCCAGCCCTTCTGAGTTCGGAGCAGCAACATTAGCACTCAGCCTCTGGGCCGGAGGAAGGAGCTCTGGAGACTTCTCTTCCTCTCCATCCCAGTCATCCCACAGAGCAGAGTTCAAAAAGCTCGGCCTGCTGCTCCCA